CCTCCGGGCCCGCCGCCATCGCGTCGACCGCCCTTGGTCGGACGTGCCAGGTTCTTCCCGAACCAGTTCTGGCGCGAGCTCTGGTTGCCCGCGCGTTTCCCCCTCGAGCGCCCCCGCTGGCCAGGCGGCTGGGGCGCGCGCGCCTCGGCGTCCGCCTTGCGCGCCTGGAGGCAGGCGATGCCGACGCAGTTGGTGCCACCGAAGTACACGTTCTTCCGCATGTAGAATAAGCAATCTGGCGGCTTCAGCTTGCGGCGGTGCATCATGTGCCAGCAGTGCCACCTCTCGTAGAAGGCCCACTCGTCGTCTCGGGCCGCCCCATGGTCTTGCCGCCCAGGAAATCGAACTCGTTCGCGTCGGGCACGTTGATCACGCCCCCATCGTCCTCGAGATGCGCGCCCCATTCGCCGCCACCTTCCTCGTCTGCTGGCGGCAGCCCTGGCAGGCCTTGGCCAAGGCCTGCGCCTGGCTGCGGCTGCGGCTCGGCCTCGGGAGCCTCGGCCGAGGCGCTGCGCTGCTCGGCCGCCTCGAGATCGACGACCTCGGGCCCCTCGGGGACGCCGGGGCTCTCGCCGAGCTTCTGGTGGTTGAGGGGCTGCCAGATGGGGGAGGGCAGCTCGATGGATTGGAGAAGCGGCTGCGGGGGTGGATTGGGCCCTTCGCCCAGGGCCGCCTCCGAACCCTTCGCTGCAGGTCTGGGCGCAGCCGCCACCTGATACGTCGTTGCATGTTTTTCTTGTTTTAAAAAATGCATTGACATGTTTATACATTTATTTTATATAACAAATAACGCGACTGATCGCAGAAGGGAATCAACTGCACCACGCTGCCGCCCATCAGCCAGCGGGGCCACAAGGCGCCGCAGGCGCCGACGAGCACGGCGGGCCGACCCATCGCTGCAGTCGGGCTCTGCAGGGGCGGGCCGTGCAGGGGAGGGCGGGCGCGCCGCGGCTGAAAAGCTGAGGAGCGCGCGGCGACAAGAAGAGAAACCTCTCCCCTGCTTCACCCCTGCCCCCCCCCTTAGCCGACGGCCCCCCGCGCCTTGGCCCTCCGCGCCCCCCCCCCCCCCTTCCCTCCCACCTCTGCCCCCCGCCCCCTGGGGCCCCCCGCCCCCCCCCCCCCCCCCTTCTTGCCATCCCACAGGGGGGCCCTTCGCCGAGGGGCCCCGCGTCTCCCTTGGTCTTCCGATATATCGGGGGAGGAGGTGGGGGAGGAATGGGTGAGCTATAGCTCTTCCGTTCCTCCCCCACCTCCTCGCCGTTGTTCTTTTCTCTGGAAAATATGGCAAAACTGCCCGGGACGTCGCTTAGGGGCGACCTCCGGCTCAGAAACCTTTCTGTCGCTCGTTCACGAGGGGCATGAGCTCATGGCGTTTCATTTCCGCAATCCAGGCGGCACGGCAGCTGATCTCGCGTTTCTCCTGGAAGGAATTCTTTTCCCGACCATCCTGCGGTGCTGGGTCCTCGTTTTGAAGAGAGCGCTCCGCGTCCTTCCTCCTCCCGCTCCACCCCCCTCCTCCTCCCCCTCCTTGCCTCTGCTCTCGGCGCACCTCTCAGACGTTTCGTAGCCCCATAGGAAGCTCCACCGACGGCCCCGGCGGCTGTGTTCGCATGCGCATCCTTCACCCAGGGCAGACCTTCGTGGCCCCATAGGGAGCAAGGCCCCGCTGGGGACGTTCGCATGCGGGCCCCCCACTCAGGGCAGCGCTTCGTGGCCCCATAGGGGGCTCCACCGAAGGCCCAACTGGGCGTGTTCGCATGCGGGCCCCACACCCAGGGCAGTGTTTCGTGGCTCCATATGGGCGCCCCATTCGTTGCCCCATAGGGGGCTCAACCGAAGGCCCCGCGAGGGGGTGTTCGCATGCGGGCCCCCCGCCCAGGGCAACGCTTCGTGGCCCCATAGGGGGCCCCACCGAAGGCATCAGCGGGTGTGTTCGCATGCGGGCCCCCCACCCAGAGCAGCGCTTCGTGGCCCCATAAGGGGGCTCCACCGAAGGCCCCAGTGGGGGCGTTCGCATGTGGGCCCCCCGCCCAGGGCAGCGTTTCGCGGCCCCATCGGGAGCTCCACCGGAGTGTTCGCATGCGGGCCCCCCGCCCAGGGCAGCGCTTCGTAGCCCCATATGGGGGCTCCACCGAAGGCCCCAGTGGGGGCGTTCGCATGCGTGCCCCCCGCCCAGGGCAGCGCTTCGTGGCCTCATAGGGGGCTCCACCGAAGGCCCCACTGGGGGTGTTCGCATGCGGGCCCCCCGCCCAGGGCGGCGCTTCGTGGCCCCATCGGGTGCCCCGCCGAAGCGGGATTGCCCGCATGCGGTCCCCCCACCCAGGACAGCGCTTCGCGGCCCCATCGGGAGCTCCACCGAAGGCCCCGGCGGCGGTGTTCGCATGCGTGCCCCCCGCCCAGGGCAGCGCTTCGTGGCCCCATAGGGGGGCTCCACCGAAGGCCCCACTGGGCGCGTTCGCATGCGGGCCCCCCGCCCAGAGCAGCGCTTCGTGGCCACATCGGGAGCTCCACCGAAGGCCCCAGCGGGAGCGTTCGCATGCGGGTTCCCCGCCCAGGGCAGCGCTTCGTGGCCCCATAGGGGGCTCCACCGAAGGCACCAGTGGGGGTGCCCGCATGCGGGCCCCCCGCCCAGGACAGCGCATCGTGGCCCCATAGGGAGCTCCACCGAAGGCCCCAACGGGGGTGTCCGCATGCGGTTCCTCCGCCCAGGGCAGCGCTTCGTGGCCCCATAAGGAGCTCCACCGTCGGCCCCAGCGGGGTTGCCCGCGTGCGGTTCCCCCACCCAGGGCAGCGCTAGGGAGCTCCACCGTAGGCCCCAGTGGGGATGCCCGCATGCGGTTCCCCCACCCAGGGCAGCGCTTCGTGGCCCAATAGGGAGCTCCACCGAAGACCCCAGTGGGGGTGCCCGCATGCGGTTCCCCACCGCCACCACTGTGGCAGGCCCCTCACACAGTTCGTGACCCCATAAGGAGCTCCACCGAGGACGATCGACACAATTGCGGTATTCACAACTGCATATGGTTGGGTCCTTTGCCAGGCTAATTGTTGTGTTTCTTCTTCATGTTTGTGTTCATGTTTTTTTTCGGCGGTGGACACATCTCCCTTTAGTAGACCTCGCTTTATTGAAAACTGCTTGGGGCCGAAGCCGACGGACCTGGGCCCGCAAAAATGACGGCCGCGACGCCCTCTCGCGAACTGAAAGCGGCGTATCCCTTAATCGACGCGTCAGGGCAGGAGATCTGTCCACCCCTGAGTTTTACATTATTGTAGAAGGAGGGGCCTGCCCAGCTCGTCGCGCCAGCAGCCGCAGTCGACGCGCCCTTCAGCTTTGGCGACAAGGTGCCGCGCACGTCGCACCTGCACTTCCAGCAGCAGCGGTACCACCACCCATTCCCGCACGTCCGCATCGGCCACGCAAAAATCGCCCTGGCCTCAGCCATTTCCAGCCGCGCCAATCTGGCAGCACCGAGCCGCACAGGTCGCAACGAGTCGACATGGCGCTCGCGGGTGCATGGGTTGAGCTGGGGGCAGAACGGCTAGATATGTCCCCACGTCGCCCCATATACCTTGCACTTTCCTAGATGCGTGGGGGCTCGATTCCTCCTCCCCCGCCCCCTGCCCCCGCGCCCCTTTTCATTTTTCTTGTATGCATGGGGCCCCTTGGCCGCGGGGCCCTATTCCCCCTCTCCCGCCCCCTGCCCCCCCACCCCCCCCCTCCCGTATTTCTTATTTCAAAAAATGAGCACGGGGCCCCTTTGCCGAGGGGCTTATTCCCCCCCCGCCGCCACTGCCCCACCCCCCCGCCCACCCACCTCCCTGCTGTTACCTAACAGCGAAGATTGATAGGTTTCTAGTAGGGTCAAAAGAAAGCATCGTGACTCACCAGGGAGGTCTGGGCGGGATCCGGCGATCAGCCGGCGCTCTGCCGCCGCCATTCAAATCGCTTGAGACATCCTCGCAAAATCGCTCTTGGCCCTCCCAGAACTCCATTCCCGGGCCACATTTTGAATACCCGGGGCCGATTGTAGGCCACTTCGTGCTCTTCGACTTCCCAGAACTCCACTCCCGGGCCACATTTTGGATGCCCGGAGCCAACTGTAGGCCACTTCGTGTTTTTCGATTTCCCAGAACTCCATTCCCGGGCCACATTTGGGATGCCCGGAGCCAACTGTAGGCCTTTTCGTGTTCTTCGACTTCCCAGAACTCCATTCCCGGGCCACATTTTGAATGCCCGGAGCCAACGGTAGGCCACTTCGTGCTCTTCAACTTCCCAGAACTCCACTCCCGGGCCACATTTTGAATGCCCGGAGCCAACTGCACGCCACTTCGTGTTCTTCCACTTCCCAGACTTCCAAGACTCATCATCTTCATCATCATCATCGCCCCCGTAGCCTTCTTGGCTACAGCCCTGCTTTCGAAGATTTCCTTTCAAAGGAACTGAGCAGCGCCTACTGCACACTTTAATGCCGGGACATGCAGATAGTTCTCGGTCTGGCGGCTTAGACCTCAATGCATTTATACCAAGATCTCATTTGGAGGTACCGTTATCGAAAGCAGTGTTTCTATTGTTACTACCACTGCTCCCATCACTCCTACTCGTTCACTCCACACACTAGAACTACTACTTCACTGTTACCACTACTACCATCACTACTAATTATACTGCTACTACTACTGTTACTATTACTGCTGCTGCTGCTGCTGTTGCTGCTGCTAGTGTAGCTATTGCTACTGCAACTACTGGCAGTGCCACTGCGACTGCCGCTGATGTTGCCACTGCGACTGCCACTGCGAATCCGAATGCGACTGCGAGAACATTCTACAACAGCGCTCTTACATGAATACCACAGGCAATGTTTCCAGCTATACTTCTACACATCGCTGTTAGGTTGCTTTGCCGGGATATTTTTTGTCCGCGCCAAGCGGCTAGCGGCGCGCAACATTCACCCATCCTATGGCCGTCCTACTCCGTACCCCACCACGACTGGCAAGCGGCGCGCCTATTCGAAGACTAGCTTGGATAGCGCATGCTCCTTCGCCTCTTGCAGGCCTACCTTGCCCGCGTTGAGCCCCCCCCTCACCTGGCGGCCGATGTCCGAAAGATATTCCTTGCTGGCCGCGCAGCGCCCCCCCCCCCCGAAGGACATAAGCTGCGAGCCGCCCTTCGCGCGGAGCCCCGCGGAGTGGCTCTTCTTGTGGCGCATCGCGCGGTTGAGCTGCTCGGTCTTGCAGTCGAGCGCGCGGCCTTTCTCGTCGGCGAATTTGCCGGGGTCGGCGGCCGCGGGCTTCGCCTTCGGAAGCTCGGCGGCCGCGGGCGTCGCCTCAAGCTCGGCGGCCGCGGGCTTCGCCTTGGCGGCCGCGGGCGTCGGGGGCGCGCCCTTCATGCTGGGTGCGATATATACTCGGCGTCGTCGTCCTCCTCGGGCCCCCGGGCCTCGTCGGCCGCGCCCACCCCCCCCCCCCTTCCTTGCCCTCGCCCTCCTCGTCTGCCACGGGCAGGTCCTCGTCCTCGACGCGCCCAGCGCCGGTCGCCGCTGCAGGCTTCTCATTGCTCATCTTATTAATGGCTGGCTTCTCATTCACAGGCGGGTTCTTCCGCGCCGCGAAGTCGGCGCTGATGATCTCCGACGTCCGCGTCGCGCCGTCGGCGAGGATGGCCGCGCGCATCCCCTTCTCGCCTGGGGCCGAGTCGAACTCCCTGAGTTCCCCGCCGCCGTCGGCCTCCTTGAGCAACTTTCGGTTGCAGCCCACCTCGCGTACGCTAGTGCGCTTCGGCGGGGATTTCTCGGCGGCGGGGGGCGTCGGCGAGTCCGCGAGCGACTGCTTCCGCGTCAACCTCCTCCTCGTCGTGCTCAGGGCTGCGCTCGAGCTCGGGCTCGGGCTGCCCGGGGCAACCGACGCCCTCTTGGTCGGCGTGCGCAGGGTGTCGCTGTGCCCGTACACTCCGGCGATCTCGCTCGCTCTCGGGGGGCCGCGCAGCGCGGGCCCGCGCGCGCTGCTGGCGGGGGCCGCCAACGGCCGAGCATCAATCGGCAGAGTCGGCGCCCCCTCGCGGCCATGTTGCTGCAGCGCGCGGGCGGCGGCGGCAGTCGCGGGAGCCAGCTTCTCGGCGTCCTTGTGCATGTAGCAGTGCTTCATCGCCTGTTTCGCGGCGTTCGCCCAACTCGCCCGCTCGTGCTTCGAGAGCTCAGGCGCGTGGCCCTCGGCGGCTTCGGCGAGGGGCGGCGCGGGCGCGCGCGGCGTCAGGGTCGCCAAATCGACCAAGAAAGCTTTGTTTAGGCGCATCGTATCCTCGACATCGCTCTGCGCCTGGTAGCGGATGATGCTGAGCGCGTGCGTCTTGCACAGATCCGTGAGCGCTTGGAGATCGTCGATGCATTTGGCCCTGGGGCGCTCGCGCCAGGCGGCCATCTTTTGGCGGGGCAAAAGGGGCGCGGCGCGCGGTGCGCGGGCGTTTAGCTTCGAGCCTAAATGTGCATCGGATCCGCGAACAGCCGCGGCGACATGCCCCCCTCCCTCCTCCCTCGCGCCGAGGGGCTCCTCAGACGAGGAGCCCCTGGCCGCTGCCTGAGCCCTTGGCCGCTGCCTCATGTAGACGATGTTGAGCCTTGTGAATATCGGAATTACACAACATGTATCAGAAGTACCAGTTTGGCGTTTTTCTGACACCCATGTTGGGCCTCGTAGAAAATCAACCGATCTAAGTAGATATGAGGTTTGTTTGCCGGAAAACAAATCTAAATATATCGTCTCCAAAAAAGGCTCTATTTCGATCACCGAGCTCTAGCTAGATAGGCGGATCCCAATAGATCGGCACCGCTCTAAATAGATTGGAAAAGTCTTTGTAGATCTGAAAAGATTATCATGGTGGGTGGAGCTCCTTGTGGGGCCATAAAACTTGCAAGGGATGTTCCGACATGGGCGGCGCAGACGCATGCGAAGGGCACCAATTTGACCTTGTGTGGAACTCCTTGTGGGGCCACGAAACGTGCCAAGGATGTTCCGACATGGGCGGCGCAAGCGCATGCGAACGGCACCATTGGGGCTTCGGGTGGGGCTCCTTATGCGGGCACGAAGCGTGTGAGGGGTGTGCAGACATCTGCGGCGTGGACGCGTGCGAACGGCACCGTTGGGGCTTGAGGTGAAGCTCCTGTTGGGGCCACGAAGCGTGTGAAGGGTGTGCCAAACTGTGTGGCGAGGACGCATGCGAACGGCACCATTGAGGCCTTAGGTGGAAATCCGTATGGTGCCACGAAACGTGTGAGGGGTCCACCGAACATGCGGACATAGCACAGGCGGGGATGGGAAGAGGGAAGAGGGGGAGGCTGGAGAGGAGGAGGAGGACGTGGGACGCGCGGTGCTGCCTTTTTCAAAACGTGGACCTAGCACCACAGGATGGGTGGGAACGAAGAGCCTTGTATGAGTCCTCGTGAGCACGTGTATCCCGACATTGTTCGTACGACCGCCGGTTGATCTTAATCAATGATATGCGATGCGCGAATCCGACATCATCCTGACTGCATCAAGTCAGAAGAGAGAGGTGCACGTAACCATTCTGGCAACGAGATGCGCTGGTACAGCGGCGCAGGCGTGCGCGCCCACAGCGAAGGCCGTCTCAGGCGAACGAGCCGGCCAGGCAGTGGAAGCGAGGCCAGGGGGCAAGCGGACGACGCGTGGGCGTGGGCGGATGAGGGGAAGCAGAGCGGTATCACCTCGGGACAGGAGCAATCACGACGATGACGAGAACGACGACGACCGGCGGCGGCAGCGACGACAACGACAAGACGACGACGACGATGACGACGACAACGATGACGACGACGACGACGACGACGACGACGACGACGACGACAGCGACAGCGACGACGGCAACGGTGACGACGTCGACTGGCGAAGGCGTATGGGCACCGCAGCCGCCGTAGCTTGCGAGTGTCACAGCATGCTTGCGAGCACTAAAACATGCCTGTCAACACCGCAGCATGCCTGTGAGTGGGAAAGCTGGCACCCCCTCGCCCTCACCCGCGGACGTTCGGTACCGTAACGGGTGGGGACACCCCGTAAGTAACGGACGCTGCGGCTTCGCCGAATCATAAGCAATCTCCAAGACCATGATCACAGAAAAACGCAAGGCAATCAACACATGAGCAGCGAGGAGACGCTGCCAAGATTCACGGAGCCCGTCGAGCTCGGGAGGCACGTCCTGGAGCTCCGCGGCTGTCGAACGCGGGATCGTGGCCATCGCTCCTGGTACCGTCTCGGAGAGGATTTTCCTGCGGGGCTCCAAGAGAAGCGCATCATAACTAAGATTGGGGCGAATGCTATCGGCGAGGGTGTTCTCGAACCAACTCCTGCGACCAAGCGCGAGCGCAGACCAGCGTATGAACGCGTACGAAGCGGTAAGCACGCGCGCGTACAGTGTGCGATCGCACCCCTAGAAGTGTCAGTGCGACGCGGACGGCGCCATCGGCTCCACATTCGAGGGCGGGGACGGAACCCCGGAGACTTGCAAGTACTGCGACTGCATGGACTGAAGAATGCATGCGGTTCAACACATCATGCGCCTCGTCACATCAATCCCACAGAGCCGCTACCGAGGCACAGATGGGCGGGTAACTCGCCGAACGAAACCGTTGTCATGCCTGACGGCAAATGCCAAAGGTGAGCCGCTATGTACGATCGACGAGGCAACTGAGGTACGGCGCTGTGGGCTCAACCGGACACCAGGGGCGACCTGCGGGCGTCCAAGCTACGGTGATGGGCGGATGAAGTGGCAGTGTTATCCGAACTTGTGAAGCTCTCTCGTTCCACGGCGACCCAAAGCCTTCGCAACCGGACACCAGGAAGACCGCGGTCGTCTACACCCGGTGCCAGAGTGCGATCTTAATGAAGGCGACGAGGACTGGCTGCTCGTATCCATGTGCAGGGACGGGGCGCCCTCTCAGTCCTCGGTCGCCTCCCCACTCTCTAAGCAACCCCGCGTGGTCTTTCTCCCGAGCTACAGGATTCATCGGCACCATGATTATCTGGGTAGTTTCGGCGTCCTCATGTTCCTGAACGTGTATCTCGACGTACCTGTCGTGATGTAGTTTATGCTTCTCTTCTACGTACGTCTTCCAGACAACGTAGGTTGTTCCTGCAGTACACTTAAACGCGGCGCGGCCTAGGCGAAGTGCAGCGCCTGGTTTCACCTCTCTCTCTCTGTGTTTTTTGTCCCCCTACCCTCTTTTGTTGGGCATTTGTTTTGAATAGAGAACTGCGGTCGCGTCCTCCTCCCGCCTCCTGCCTCCCGCGAGACCTCTCCGTCCCTGGGGGGGGGGTGCGATCTGCGAAACTGTCGCCACTTTCGAAGGTTGCTGGTGGGTCCAGCGGAGTGAGGCACCGCACAGACCTGAGCGGGATCTTGTTGTCCCTGGGGGGTCGCGATTTGCGACGCTGTCGCCACGTTCGAGGGCTGCTGGTGGGTCCAGCGGAGTGAGGCACCGCGCAGACCTGAGCGGGACCTCGCGTCCTCATGTTCCTGAACGTGTATCTCGACGTACCTGTCGTGATGTAGTTTATGCTTCTCTTCTACGTACGTCTTCCAGACAACGTAGGTTGTTCCTGCAGTACACTTAAACGCGGCGCGGCCTAGGCGAAGTGCAGCGCCTGGTTTCACCTCTCCCTCTCTCTCTTTTTTGTTGTCCCCCTACCCTCCTTTGTTGGGTATTCGTTTTGAATAGAGAACTGCGGTCGCGTCCTCCTCCCGCCTCCTGCCTCCCGCGAGACCTCTCCGTCCCTGGGGGGGGGGTGCGATCTGCGAAACTGTCGCCACTTTCGAAGGCTACTGGTGGGTCCAGCGGAGTGAGGTACCGCGCAAACCTGAACGGGACCTCGCCGTCCCTTGGGGGACTGCGATCTGCGACGCTGTCGCCACTTTCGAGGTGTCGCCACTTTCGACGGCTGCTGGTGGGTTCAGCGGAGTGAAGAACCGCGCAGACCTGAGCGGGACCTCGCCGTCCCTGGGGGGTCGCGATCTGCGACGCCGTCGCCACGTTCGAGGGCTGCTGGCGGGTCCAGCGGAATGAGGCACCGCGCAGACCGGCCCCATAAATGGTTCTACCTTGGGCCGTCCCACTGGTAGCGCCCGCATGGCGGCCCCGCGCCATGTCGGCACACCCCTCCACACGTTTCGTGGCCCCATAAGTGATTCTTCCTTCGGACGTCTAGTGGCAGCGCCCGCATGGCGGCCCCGCCCCATTTCTGCACACCCTTCACGCGCTTCGTAGTCCCAGAGGGTAATCCACTGAAGGCGATATTCGCACCGCTGGTGTTCACAATTGCATATGCTTAGGTCTTTCGCAAGGCGAATAATGATGATAGTAGTTTGGCGTTCTGTGGCGCCCCATGCCGGTACACTTTGTGAATGGAGCCCCCCATGATTTGATATGTTTAGGTGTTGAAGGAAACAATGTCTTGGTCATTGAGATGGGTCCGGCCCCTTCCTCTTCAGACGCACCCGAGATCGCCCCGAACTCGGTGCTCAAGGCCTTGCGCGGTTTCCCGAAGGGCACGGCTGCCGGCCCCTCCGGCCTGCGGGCGCAACACTTGCAAGACGCCCTCTCTCCGGCCACGCGGGCGCCCCTGTGCGAGCAGCTCGCGGCCGTCGTCCAGCTCTTGGCCAACGGGGGCGCCCCCCGCCAGCTTGCGCCTCACCTTGCCGGAGCCAGCTTGCGCCTCACCTTGGCGGAGCAAGCTTGGTCGCATTGGAAAAAGAGGACGGGGGGCTCCGGCCGATAGCTATCGGGGAGATCCTCCGCCGCTTAGCAGGCAAGGTCCTCTGCGGGCACGTGAAGGCCCGCGCCCGCCGGACCCTCTGGCCGCAGACAGGCTGCTACAGCCCTCTTGGCGCGGAGGCGACGATTCACACCGTGCCCCAGTAGTGCGATCGGAAAGCCAGCGACAGCGGCCAGGTGTTGCTCAAGCTGGACTTCGCCAGCGCTTTCAACTCCTTGAAGCGGGAAGCCGTGCCCTGGGCCGTGCGCTCCCGCTTCCGAGAGCTCGAGCGTTGGGCGCGGTGGGCCTATGCGGAGCACTGAACCCTGCGCTTCGGCCAACACAGGCTCTCGTCTCAGGCGAGCGTGCAGCAAGGGGACCCTCTGGGGCCGCTCTTCTTTGCCTTGGCCGCGCACGACGTCTTAGAGGAACTGGCTGGCCAGCAAGCCTTGGACCTGCGCGCGTTCTACCTGGACGACAGCCTTCTGGCGGGCCCCGCGGACGCCGTGGCGCAAGCGCTTTGGAGTTGAACCCTGGCAAGTGCGAGCTCGTTGCCCCGTCTGGACGTGCCCCCGCAGACCTCGGCGGACTTCCCCCGCCCCCTTGCCAACGGAGGCTGAAACTGGAGTGAGC